TATCAACTCAGATTAACCAGATTATCAACTCAGATGTTTGTTTTCACATGAGCGTGTTTGATACATAGAAACAGTCTCATTGACCTGAGTCATAAAGTAAAGGTCATAAAGCATACGCATTGAGATAGCACTTTTAAATTTACTTAAGCATTTTTCCAACAGAAATAGCACCTTCGATGATTGCTCCATAAATTGATCATTTTCTGAGGTTTAGTGAAGAGCGATGAAATGACAAACTGTTATAATATGCTTATTTTCTTGCTTTAGCTCTTCTCCTTTTTTAAAGCCTGTTATTCAGCGAGCTTCCGGCTGCTTAACAACTGAAGGTCATGGCGTGCACAATCTGCATCTCACTCTGAATGGAAAATGGAAATAACTTTACTACATTGTACTAAACAAAAGTCAACTCAGCTCGACTTAAGGTAGAAGGGATCTGTTGCGCTTCAGCCGCTCCACAAATGGAGGTCAGTGCTCTCAGAGAAGGACCTTAGACGTTGAAAATATAAATCACTGGACTCCTTCTCTCCGGCAGAATCCAAAGAAACAACTTTTTCAATTCTATTGATGCAAAGGACTAATGTTTTGACACACTGCGTCTTCCTCAGAGTCAACTCAACTCTATTCTACTCTGCTCTTTCCCTATCTTTGGTTAGTAAATCCATAACCCTAACCCTAACCCTGGTATTCTGGGTTAGGGTTAACAACATTGTTGACTCAATATAAACCACAAAAGATCCATTAAACATGCCAGGAAATCCATAAAACAATAATTGAAAGTCTTTATTTAAGCTACATACTTCAGACTGAAGTGGAAGTGAGTCATGTTTAGTGTGAAAAGGAGGTGAGACCTAAAGGGATTTTTTTTAAACTTCCTGTTAGTTTCTCACAAACCAGGGTGTTAGCTTTATTTTGTAACCAGGATGTTTTCTGTACCTACAAACCCAGTGTGTGTTAAAAAAAAAAAAAATCAGCCATTTGGACTTGTATAATGAATAAACCGAATAAAGAAAATAACCGAGCACGTATAAAGAATGTTTGAGTTGTGCACTGCTTGTCTCTCCCATGTCCCTGCTCTTTGTCTTCCCTGCAGGACCGCCCCGCCATGCAGCTCTACCAGCCGGGCGCACGAAACAGGAAGCGCATGAGCTCGGCAGGAAAAGGCTACGACTGCCTCCCTGTGGGCCTCTCACCTGAGCCTGGGGCCGAGCATTGTTTTGAGGTGGTAGCTATGGCAACAGGCCTGGAGAAAGGGTTTGAGAAAAGCAAAGATGAACAGTAAGCAGATTGTAAATGAATAACGTTTACTGTGGCGGGATTGAGAAGTCATCACTGAGCTTTTAAAAAGAATACTCTATTGAGTAAGAGAAGCACTTCATTACAGTCTTTTGGGCTTTTTTAATTGGCTTCAGGTGCATTTAAATTCAGAGTTTTGTTAGGTTTTGTTTTGCAGGAACATGAACATTCATAGTGTTGTAGTACGCAAAATCTGTCTTGTTCTCAAGGCCGATCTCGAGACCACTTTTTGAAGGTCTCGCTCTCGTCTCGGAATCGAAATCATTTTTACTCGGTCTTGTCTCGGTCTCAGACTGGGCGGACTCTGAATTGTAAATTCAAGACTACCACTAAAAGGGTAATTTTCAAAGTCATTACTGGGATTCGAAGGGATACGCCCCTTTCTAAATGAACGGATCACTTCAATTCATTTATAAATCTTTTTAACCCCCTGGTTAAGACCGCAACCTTCCCTGTGTTTCGGTCTAAATGAGTGACATGCCAGCTGCACACAAGTTGATGATTTTTTTATTGATATTTATGGTCTTGGTCTTGACTCAGTCTCGTTCCCTAAATGTCTCGGTCTTGGAGCACTCTAGTCTAGTGTACGTCTTGGTCCCGGCTAGTGTGGTCTTGACTACAACACTATGTAGCTTAGAGTTTGACATATAAAAAAAAAAATGTGTCTTTGGAATAACCCAACGATAGTAGTAACTTCAGTGACAGCACCACTTAATTTCTCATGCTAATCTGGTTTATTTCATGCACCGTTTTTAAAATCAGCTCCTGCAAGTTAACTTTTAAGTTGCATTAAAACCTTTCTTTCATGAGAAAACTCAATATAATAACTTTTTTGTCATTTTGTTTTTAAGTCGTTCCCTATATGAGGTAGCTTGCTTGTGGTATCCATCAAAAGATCCTTTTTTATGAAGCCTTTGTGGACTGTGCTGAAACCTGATGTTTGTAATAATCCTATAGATTTGATTAAAAATGAAATATAATGTAGGGATGAGCTACAAACAGTGGATGTAGAAGAACAGAAGAGGACATTGTGTGTGTGTGTGTGTCTCTTATGTACTGTACGTAAAGATAAAAAAGAGAAGGGCGACGAGATATAAGAGGACAATGTCAACATGTTGGACGGCTCTCGCGAACATTTCTGCATCCTTTAAAATTTGGTCCCTCTTATCCTGAAGAGTCATATAACAGAGATGATGGAATACTTTTATTTATGAGATACATGATCTACATGATCAACCATGAGCCAGGAAGAACACGTTCTCTACATTTCTATAAAGCATTTCCTAGTAACAGATCAATAGAAAAAACTTGTTTTCTATGCTGTGTGCATGGTTTTTAATTTCTAACAGAGAAGCCACAGATATTTGTATAGTGATATAGTCTGTTGATCAAGCCTTACACATTATTTTTGCACATGACTGAACATTTGTCTATCATACCTCTTGTATATTTTGTGTTCTTTGAATTGTAAGAGAATAAAGCTTCCTTTACGTGCTAAGAGGTAAATCAGTGTTCTGGTTCTTTAATGACAGTTTGCTGAGGCTGCAGCCCTTGCCCTTATTAAACAAATGTACTGTAAATCTGGCAGATTTGAGTCAACTACAACAAGCAATGGATGATCACACATGAAAGTGGGTGGAGATATGTTTGAAAACCAAACCCCACCTTAGATGAGATCATAGTGAAACCTGACGGGCCGTCTGTCTATTTTAACTGATTTGTTTTTTTGCTTCTTGTGAATGATAACAGAACTTATTGCTCAGAGTTTGTCTGTTTAAGTTATCAGAAGGGAAAAAAAAGAATGAGAAGTGTCTGTCACATTGTCACCCAGATAAAGCAGAACTGTCACATCAACAGGAAGCGAATACAACACGGCAAATCGTGTGAATCTTGTGAGCGATGACTTCAAACTGGCGTTCCTAATTCACTTGTAGACTTGAAACATCCCTTTTAAACAACGTGTGATCGTGTGACATACAGTGTGCCAGGGTTGGCCCAATACCAGATTTCTAACTCGCATGTGGTTGCAATAAAAATCTAATCTGTGTCAACACCACGGCAACAAGATTACAAGTCTGAGGCATCCAATATCGGGTCATTTCTTTTCTTTTTTTTATCACAAACATTCTCTCTCACACTGTCATATAAAAAAAAAAAAGTTGTTGGCAACCTTTCGGTAAAAGGACTTGACTCAAAGCACTTTTACACCGCATGTCACACCTACCCATTCACACACTGATGACAGAGGCTCTTATGTAAAGTGACCATCAGAATGAACTAATCCCATTCATACATATTCATACACCGCCCAACGAAGCAGCTGGAACAATTTGGGGTTTAGTGTCTTGCCAAAGGACACATCGGACATGTGGCTGCAGGAGGCCTCGAAATGTTGAAAGTAAAAGTACCAAAATGTTGACAGTCTATCTATTGTAATTCTCTCAGTTTTAGTGTTTCTCTTTTTTTCTGTTCTCTAAATCTTCCACCCGCTCTAAAAACATAACTAAAGATCAGAAGTTATCTTAAAGCTTCAGTACTTTCAGTCATTATAATAATGGAGCTTGTATCACTTTAAAACGCATGGTATCATAAAGTATGGTATTAAAGTATTGAAATGGTGAAAATGTTACAGTATACTGGGCCAGTCACACGATATATGATGGATTATTCAATGCATATAAATCAGTCTCAGCACACATACATGAATCTATTACCCACTGCTTTCACACAGTACTTCTTTTTTTAAGATTTATTTTTGGCCTCTTTGTGCCTTTGTTGGATAGACACCGAGAGAGAGAGAGAGAGAGAGAGAGAGAGAGAGAGAGAGAGAGTGAGAAAAGGGAAATTACCCACTGGTTGGATATGAATCCGAGCCGCCCACATTTGAGGATCCCAGCCTCTTGCGTGCGTCCAAACCACAAGGCTACCAGCTCCCCCTTCATACAGCTCCTTTAACACCCCTTAGAACTTTTAACACTCTTTTTGTGTTAAAACATCAAATCACAGTGGATTTAATTTGTTTTTATTTACTCACATCAACAAATAAATACGACTCTATTTGAAAGTTAAACCTGTTCTCCTGGAAGTGATCTCAATTGTAGTTGTAAAAAAAATGCTAAATTCTGTTGAGAGGAATCTCCAAGGAACCAGAACTCCCTTTTAGTACTGCAAAAAGAGAATCAGCATAAAGGTTTCATTTTCACATCTTCTGTTTTTTATTTATTTTTTGTTTATGATAGGAAATGACATCCTCTTTAAATTCACTGTTAAAGTCACAATAATACTTAATTTGTACGGCACTTTTCAATAGAGGTAGCAAAAGTGCTTCACAGCAAACAGTAAAAGTAGACAGACAATGAAAGCAATCAGATTAAATATAGAATAACAGAGTGAAAGCTGTTTTGTAAAAGCATGTCTTGAGTCGAGAAATAAAAGGAGGGACGGACTCTGTAAGTCTGATCTCCCCTGGCAGGCGCTCTCAAAGTCTGGGGGGGGCTCAGTGCCTGTGTCTTTGGGAAGGCCAGCAGAGGATGTCAGACTGCGTCCTGGCTCATAGGGGTCAGGCGTTAAAACACCTGAGGAGGTGGAATACTTTCTATATGCACTGTTGAACTTTAAGTAGAACTTTACAACTTCCCTCTTGTGTTTCTTTCCATTTCCCGTTAACATCACGTTTATTTCATGTGAATATGTCTTAAAGTGAAAGTTACACTCTCTGTGGTATCAGGAAATCCCAAAACTTTCATAGAACAGACATTTGTGAAACTTTTTCACAAATGTCTGTAAACCTTCCACACATGTAAATGTGTTACTTCAGAGGTAAGTGAATCACTATATATATAAGGCTGTAATGGGAAGTACTAGTGATGAGTAAAGGTGTGTGTTTTCTATGCTTTGACCATGTGGGGAGTCGTACACATGTGGGTGTTTTAAGCTATTTCCAAACTGACACTGATGGGTGAAGTTAGCACCGTTGGAATTGGATGAAGGTGGTCACATGATCCATTTCCTATGCTGTCAAACTATCTTTCACACTCTAACCAGCCTCATTTCCTCACCAGTCACAACATCTGAAGCTCCAATCTGCAATTGTTTCTCACATGCCTACTGACTTACACCTACGCCACTTCCTCTGTGTTTGCCAAGGTGAGTAACTGATTTTTTCGACTGAGATTTATCAGGTAGAGCAATGTCTTTATGACCAGTAAATGTTTGTTTAGTTTAATTTTGATATGAACTTAGGTATGAAGCGAAACAGACTGCGCTTCATCTTCATCTTTTGGTGTTCTTATCTTTTATTTTTTAAAGTAAAAATATCTAAAAATGATGATTTTTAATCTGCTGTGTGACTTTTTATCTTTTAAACATCCAAATAGAAAGTGAAGTGTGACTACAGTATTTTCTGTCTTCTTTCTGGATGATGTTTTTATTTAGATTAATATCACAAACAACACACAGTGGCCAATAGAACGACATGGATTGAAGATCAAATGTTAGTATTCTTAACATCCATTGACATGAGACTTTTTTTTTTATATTAAACATTTATTTTACCAGGAAAGAAACTCATTGAGATTAAAAATCTCTTTTTCAAGAGTGTCCTGGCCGAGACAGGCAGCAGCACAATTAACAGAGGTTCACACAAAGAACGAGCATACAAATACAAAAAATACATTATACATTAAAAGACACAAATAACAAATCTGAACAGCAAATCTTTGTCAAAATCATCCACAAATACCTCAATGGAAAACATAAACAGCCAGCCATGCAGAGAAATAACTCACATTAATTACTCACATTATGTTTTAAAATGCAATTCATTGCATAAATAAACAAAAGGTTAAAAATAAATACTTTGCCCCATCATCGATATTTATAAAGAATCATCCAAGGAACAAATGCAAGAAAGACATAAGTTGTTTTGTTTTTTGGAGAGCACAGACACATTTCAGTCTGACACTGTGAATGTTGCAACCTTTTTTTATTTGATTTGCTAACAAAAGAAAAAAAACGTGTTGTTGTAACTGTCTTTTTCTTAGCAAAAGTGTGCTTTCCATTTCACAACTTCCAGTAAAAATTATGCGTGTGTGTATTTTACGTGGCAATCCCCTCCACCAGCACCACGTGTCTGCTTCAACTGACTTTGTTAATACAACAACTTTCATACAACCGTGCCACCAGGAGGGCAGAAGAGCAGAAGATGACAATAGCCATAACAAATACAACATTAAAAACTATAAATCCCATATATTAAATGAATAGAAATGAGCAAAAGATTAAAAAACAAAACAAAAAAACAAAACAGAAAAAATGCTTTTGTAAAAGAAAAATGATTCAAACATTCAATGAGGATTAAAAAATCCCCAAAATTAAAGCCAGATCAAAATGGTAGAAGCAAGAGTCTGACCAGACACGTAACCTTTTCTTAGCGTAAGTGAAAAAAGTGAAATACAAACAAGAACCTCAACAACAGTAGGATGGGAAGTGGGGGTTGGAATTGAAAGGAAATAGTAAAACCAATCACCCTGCAACTATGCACACAACTCAAGTTTTTTCTTCGAGGCACTTCGATGTTTATACTCCTCACCTGTGTCAAAATGTTGACTATACCGACTACCTTGTAGTGCAAAGAACAAAATCATTCTTCTCTCCACATAAGTTTGAGCCTTTACTAAAACAACCACTTCACTTCCAGTCGTTTGTCTGCAGCTCAGTACATTTACGACAGTTACGCATGAGCTGCTCAGAGTGACAGTTAGCGCTCACCACAAATCAAGCATGCCTTTTTCCTGTTTGATAACTCCACCCTGCACATGGGCTCCTTGGTGCAAACAACAATGAGAAAAATGAAGCATAGACTTGAATGCTGAGGTATTTATTTCACACCTCCAGATCAAACAGTTTTGAAAAAAAACAGTCGTTCAATGGCACGCAACTCATCAAACCAGGTGTAATCGTTGCTGTTTCATGCTTTTTTAAAATTCATACGCTACAAAACACTGGCAATTACATGCATTCAAACGTTTTTAAAAGTATTAACCAGTATGTTTTATTAACAAACACTCTTTCACAACCATCACATTTTTTTTCACACAGGTGATAAAAAGCCATTCTCTTCAAACCATGATGGCTAACTCCAGCAGCTTCAAGCTCGACAACGCCACCCTTTCCCTGTTCAAGAACGTAAACGTCAGCATCACCATCTCCATCATCTACATAATCGTCACCGTGGTGAACCTGGTGGGAAACGGCCTCTCCATGTGGATCCTCCTCTTCCGCACCTCTCCAAAGACTCCCTCCATCATCTTCATGATACATCTCACCCTCACAGACCTGGCTGTTGGCTTTGCTCTACCTTTTCAGATAGCCTACCAGCTCCAAGACTACCACTGGAATATGGGATCCAACATGTGCAGGTATGCTCTATGACTTAAGGGCACATGGTATAAGTACTGATAAAAAGAGTATTTTAAACGGAAAAATGCATCAAGCCAGCCGCTCATTGTCCTTCAGCAGCTAACCAGTTTGAATAGTTTTTGACATTCTGGGAAATACACTAATTTACCTTCATGCCCAGTGTGAGGTGGAAAGATCATAGCACACCTATACACTGCTTTATGTTCATTAAACTACTACCGGTGCCAGGTAGTTTATCCTAGCGTAAATTGACTTGAGCCTGAATAACGCTTTTCTAGTCTTCTGACTACTCAAAGCACTTCTACACCGCAGGTCACACCTAAACATTCACACACTGATGGTAGAGGTTATCTATGTAAAGTGTCCATCAGAAGTAACCAATCCCATTCATACACATTCATACACTGCCGACGAAGCAGCGGGAGCAATTCGGTCTTGCACAAGGACACATCGTACATGTTGCTGCAGGAGCTGGGAATCGAACCCCCGACCTTCCAGTTGAGAGACAACCCACTCTACAGTACCGACCAGCTGAGCCACAGTCGTCCCATTTAAAGGGAAAAAGAGCTAGCCTGGCACTGATCAAAACTGTCAGCACCTTCTCAAACTCATAAATTACATACTTATTGTTCATATCTGCAGGAAATAGGTGGAATAAGTAATAACAAAAAACTATTTCTTGGCCAGGTGAGCTGACTCTTAAGAGTCTTTAGATGCTCTGGCAAAAAGACACAGAATAACCTGCTGCACAGCATAGATGTTACCCTCATAAAATGTCAATGGGTAGTTTTTATTATTGAGCAGCAAGAGAGCAAACAAAACTTTTCTCCTGTCTTGAATCTTTATTCTGTCATTAGCTCATAGCTGCTGTCGTTCATTTTTATTAACAGGACAACAATGACACGAGTATTCATGTTCTCGTGTTCCCTAAAGTATAACAAATTTCATTAAAAGACAAACAAGAAGATGGAAAACTTGGTAAATCTAACTTATTTGCTACTTAACCATAGCATAAAAAACAAGGACTTGGGGCACAGATATAAGTACAGGGAATAGATGATTGCCAAACTTAGTTTTGACCAAGAATTCGGATTGGACAAGAGGCTTTCAATGAGGGCGGATATAGAGTATAACAGCACTTGGACTTTTAACTATGTATGTCAAACTAAACATGACAAATTGAAACATACAATCCTGTTCGAGTCATGTTAGGAAACTAGTTGAGTTGGGGGAGCTTGTTACTTTTTGGGCCATTTTTGCCTTTGTTGGATCGGGCAGCTGAAGAGATACAGAAAATGTTGGGAGGAGAGAGTGTGTGGGATGACATGTGACTGAAATAGGATAGGCCGGGTCTTTGTAATATAGCAATAAGTAAGGTCTTTTTACCTGCTCTTTTGTAATGTTAAAAGACAAAGAGTAAGGTATTTTACCTGCTTTTTGTAAAGTGTCTCGAGATAACACTTGTTACGAGTTGACGCCATACAAATAAAAATTGATTTATTGGTTGAAAGGCTGAGGTGAGATGTGAACCCTTAGCTTCTGTTTGTAGTGGGCACACCCTAACCACTGAGCTAAACAGCGCCCCAACCCATTACTTTGAGCTTCTTTTTTCTCTCTTGTATAAATGCAATATTACATTCAAGGCCGTCTTGTTGTACTGTTTATCTGCGACCTACATGTATGAATGAATATCAGCATTTCTGATATTCAGTACAGCTCTCTCTCTCTTGAGTTATTGCTTAAATACATTTGGATAAAATAAGAAGACAAATGATTTCATGTTTAGACTGATAAGCTTCCTTTTTCAAATAAATATTCTAAGTTGCATGCCCGCACTTTTTTCTGATTTTACACAATCTCCTAAATTTTAGATTATCAGACTTGCCTTACTGAATATTTGCTCATATAAAACCTTGGTGTTTTGGAAAACCTGCTACTTAAACTTCAAATAAATCCTTTGAATGACTTTGAATTGAATCTTCTTCTTCTTCCTCTTCTTTGTATCTACCTACAGTTTCCTGACCCTGACCTTCTACACCAACATGTACTGTTCCATCCTGACCATGATGGCCATCGGTATTGATCGCTACCTGGGCATCGTCCGGCCCATGCTCTTCAGAGAGACCAGAGAGAGGAAAGCTGTGGCTGTCATAAGCTGTGTCCTCATGTGGGTCGTGGTCCTGGCCGTTCTGAACCCGCTGATGACCACAGACCTGACCTTTGACATCCCTGAACTCGGGATAACCACATGCTTTGACATGCTGAAGAAAGATATGCTCCCCTCCAAGATAGCCTGGGCGGCCTTTGTGTTCGGCATGGGGTTAATCCTCTTCTTCCTCCCCTTCTGTGTCACGACATTCTGCTACATCAGTGTGATATGCAAACTTGCCAGTGATCGCAAGACAGTGCAGAAAAATAGAGCAATACGTCTGGCTGTGGTCGTCATCCTGGTCTTCAGCCTCTGCTTTGCTCCCAGCAACATCCTGCTGATGATTCATGGTGTCATGAGAATCTTCCATGGTCAGTCTCTCTATGCGGCCTACAAACTATCTCTCTGTTTCACCTGTGTCAATAGCTGCCTTGATCCCTTCATTTACTACTTTGCTTCCAAGGAATTCAGGCAAAAGCTGAGACACATAATGAATCTGCCGAGCCAGAGCAGTGCAGACTTGATGAGGACTGACCACAAAGACAGCGTGTACTCTGCACATTGCACCTTTGAAGGGAGGGAACACAGCAAAGTGTCTTTGATGCCACAGTAGACCGCAGAACAGAAAAGGAGCTAAAGAGGGAAAAGTGTAAGGAAGTGAAAGAAAACTTTGTAGTTAAGGTTGCGCTGAATGTTAAAGACTCTTGAAACGTATTTGTCCTTGGGTCAAAATGTGATATCATTTTGCTTCTATTTTTGTTTTTATGTAAAATTCAAACCACAGAGGCAGCTGATTGTCATTGCTATTTTTTCTGCATTACCTTATGTACCCTTAATAAATGTTTTGTCTTTGTTTATTTTACTATTATCAACATGCAAAGCAACTGTAACTTTGAAAAATGATGTAGCATTCACCAGTGTAAATATAATGTAAATAAATTAACTTTTTTTTAAACCTTATACGACATCTTGCTTTTCAAAAAACGTCAACATTATCTTTATGTCTGCAAATGCATTTGTTTTGTTTTCAACCATGCACGGGTAGAGCTGACCTTTCCCCGCTTTAACTGAAGCCACCTTTAAGTTCCTCCTATTCAGCTTCAACTTTGCCACAGAAATCTTGCTTCACAAAAGAAAACTGAAAACAGCACGACCAAACAGTTGGGGCAATAATATTAAATAAATCACAACTATAAAACTGTCCAAGCTAAAACAAGTTTTTTGAAATAAACACAAGGGATGAAAACATGAGTAAAAACTGAGGCACTAAACAACAAATAAAATATTTTAAGGTTCATTTTTTCCTTTTAAAAATATGTAACAGTATTTTTAAAAGTCTTAATCCATCGTTATTATTATCATCGTTTTTTAATAAGAAATAGCGATTGTAGACGCTGGTGTATACGCCCCCTTTAAGCTACGTCAACGTGATGCGTCATCACGTTGGTCGTCCAATCCTAGCAAGCAGCTGCCACTTGCAGTTTCCTGACTTCGGCAGCCAGGTAAGCGACACACTTCACACGTTTTCTTTGAAGTTACTCTTAGGTTGTGTGTCTTCTTTTTGGGTTGTTCGTTGTAAAGCCGTTCTCACTGTAGCTTGTCGTTTATTCTGAGAACTTATTGAGCAAACGTGACGTTGAAGAGAAATGTCTCATTCACTTGCAGAAAAGTTCACCAAAATGACCCACATTAGCTGTTCGGTAACTCCATGCTTAAAGAGATTAAAGCGTTTTCAACTATGCATGTTGTAAGTTATTATCTGATACACCTGACAGGTCGCACAACACAACGTTTTGTGAATACATTAAGGTAGAGAGATATCAATGATGGTAATGCTACACAGTAAAACTACTCTTATAGTGCTTATTTGCTACAACTGTATGTTATACAATGAGTGAGGATGTCTTAATAGTATTAAGGGCAGCTTATTTCTTTTGATGCATTATTCTATTACGATGTAATGAGATTTATTGGCCCAGGACTGGTGCTTTTTGTCAGTCCACAAACCTATTAGACTTTAACCTTTTACACCTCAACATGCATTTACTTTATTTGCCTCCAATAATTCAAGTTGGTCCTTTAAATTCATTTTGAAATAATCAGTTAAATGTATACTCACACATCACATGTTTAAAGAGAAAAAAAAGATATTCAGAATTACTAAAGATAATTAGTTTTCATTGCAGTAGATACAGAAAACCTTAAAGTTTTTAATCCTGATTTGGTTTAAACTGTGGGAGCAACACATTGCTCATTGTTCACAGCAAGCAGGCTGTGATTTGATTTCCATTCTTCAAGATTAAGTGAGAGGATTAGGTGGGTGGGAGTTCTGCCCAGTTTGCACTATTTACATCATTAAATGCAACAATGAGTAAAAGAACATTCAGTATGTAATATACAATTATTTACACCAGAGATAATCAGAGAAGCTGAGACCTCTTTTCTTTGATGAATCACTGAAATGATTGATTGATTTTTTTTTTTGTCAGCACTTTATGAACCTGCAGGTCCTCAGTGACTGAACAGCTGCAGTCACCTGACATCTCAATGCTGAGTCTATACCATAAAGTAGGCCACATCTCTAATGTTTAACTCTGTTCTTTACATCATAGGGTCAGTTAGACGAGGAGACACCATGGTGCTGAACCCTGTCATTTCCAAACTGGCCAATAAACTGGTCGTGCTGGCAAGTGCTTCTCCTAGGAGACAGGACATTCTCCGCAATGCGGTGCGTATTGATCTACTATTTGGAAATGTTTAGGTAGCCAGATAACTTGAGTTGATCCGGAGCAAGGCTTCTACTTTTCCATCTGTGAGTCTGCTTTTATGACCCCAAAATACACCAAGTTTTCAAGTTGTCAAATGAATATATGCAGCATAAATCATGTTTAATTACAAACTAATAGTTGATCAAACAGCTATCTGTCTTGTTAATCCTGCATGTCCCTATCAGGGAAATTCACATGCAAGCCTCAGATAACACTATGAATAAGGCTGAGAAACTGTACAACCCCTCTGTGATCAGGAAAGCCACCCTGATCACAGAGGACCCCTCTTACCTCCTCCAGACCCTTCTTCCATTAAATGCCATCAGGCAGATGCTACAAGTCCCTCTGGCCTGGAAAAACATTTCCAAAAAATCCTTCATTCCCTTTGCAATAACCACAATTAACTAAATCAAATAGACTTTTTTTTTTTATCAGCTGTTGTTTGTAACAGTCCCGTTCTAATGTCTGTGTTTTTAAATGTGTTGTGGGGTTGTCAGTTTATTGTTTGAGCCATGTCAAAGAAGAATTTCTGTCACTGTTGGGACAGACAGTAAAGTTTATCTAATCTAGTCTAAAAAAAAGAAAACCCTTTACTGAATGTGTGGTACATGTTTTATCACACCTCTTACTTTGTCTATTTTTAACATATTGATGTCAATGCTGAAAAGTACCAAAGAGTGTCTGTTTAGAAGATGTGTTCAAGGTGATTTGAAAGCAGTTTTCAGTTGAATATGTCATCAACAGAAAGCACTCACACGTTTGTTTTTCAACTATAAAATATCCCCCTCTGAACATGTTCTGGTTATAGAACTGTACAGAAAACATGTTTTTTTTTTTTGATGCAGTGCTTTTTTTCCTTCTACTTTCAGGGCTTAAAGTTTGAGGTTGTACCATCCTGGTTCAAAGAAACTCTGGATAAGTCACTTTTCAAAGAACCTCATGAGTATGCTGTTGAGACAGCCAAACAGAAGGCTCTGGAGGTGGCCAGGAGGATGCTATTGGTGAGTTTAACCCCCTTATTGTATGGTAATGACAATACATCATTTACCTGTCCTGTTGCACGGTGCATTGATTCTTAACATTCTCTGCAGAAACATTTGAAGACTCCTGACATAGTCATCGGCGCAGACACTATCGTGGTGAGAAAGAAAGCATTACAGAGGTTTCTCTTCCATGTGTATGTAATACAAACTGTATTTCTCATATTGTTTATAATGTGTTCATAATTCTGTTCTGTTTCATTTCCACAGACTGTGGATAGCATGATTCTGGAGAAGCCGGTGGACAAAAATGATGCTTACAGGATGCTGTCAAGGTCAGAAACATTCACACTGTCTTGAGTTTTAAACGATAAAACAGAAAATAAAAGTACATTTTTGAACTATTCTTTCTATGTCTGTATTTCTCTCTTAGCTTGAGCGGTAAAGAGCACAGCGTCTACACCGGTGTTGCTATTGTTCTCTGCCATGACAATGAAAGTAAGTCACTTCTGAACGCTTGTTCCAGTTTATTTTCTGTAGAAAGCTGATGGAGCAAACTTGTCATAACATGAAAGGTCTTTGTGGAGCTGTTTTATTGTCTGTTTCTGTCTGTTTTATCCGACAGTTTGTGGCCTTCATCAGGGTCATGACCCTGATGAAGGCCACAAACTGAAACGCGTCGGTCTAATTTGTTAATAAATTTGATCTTGGAACGCTTGTTCCAGTTTATTTTCTGTAAAACGCTGATGATGCAAACTTGTCATAACATGAAAGTTCTTTGTGGAGCTTGTGGCTTTCATCAAAACCGAAACACATCGGTCTAATTTCTTAATAAAGTTGATCTTCTTACCACAAGTGTTGCTGGAGCTTTTTGTCTTCCTCTAAGCCTTTCTTTCTTTATGCACCTTGGTAGTTAGAGAAGTTGTGCCAGAGAATACTCTGCTTCTTCATTGTTTTCTGTTTCCCAAATGTCCTGTGAGAATATAGTTGTGCTATATATTGTCACATGTTACTATTTTACTATCTAACTGGTGCTGGAATTGAACTCTGTATCGTTCAATCAGTATCTGTGAAGAAAACCTTACATTAGAACATCTCTAAGTAAGAAATTCTGTCTGAAATGTTGGAAAAGATCTGAGTTTATGTGAATTTATACAGTATTAGAGGACTTCAATTGGCAAATGTAGTCTCTGTTAGGCGACACATGTCATTTCCAAATCTCTGTTTTAACCCAGATGATGAAGTGGATTACCAGCTGATCGACTTCTACGAAGAAACAAAGGTGAAGTTTGCAGATCTGTCAGAAAGTATGCTGTGGGAGTACATCAATAGCGGTGAACCAATGTGAGTATAAAGGCTTAGACGCTTACATAAAACTATTGACTTTCCAAACGTTGTAACCTCACTGGACATTTGTCATTAGAGGTGATTTTATTGGATCTGAGCCACATGACCCTGCTGCTTTTTGGACTTTGGTGTCTGAGTACTGTTCAAGCTGTGTTTGCTTTGTCCTAGTTGACCGGGATTATGTCGGCCAGAAGTCAGCTAGAGTGCATTGTGTGAATTTCTTTTCCTTTTTTAGCATGTATCATCACACACACAGCCACATGACTCGTCTATGTCACGGGAAAAACTCCAGTGTTGAAAAATGAAGCCAATGCAGAAGTGCAAAATCCTGCAATCTGTCAAGGGGCTGCAAGAGCCCTGGAAGTCACGCACACACACCACATTCAAAAAAGCCAGTTTTTACAGAAGAAATAAACATGTTTACAGCCTGGTACAAACAAATGTTGGGCTGATTAGATATTGTCCTCATTGGCACACTGACTGTACGGGGGGTGAATTAAAAACAATAACGCATCCTTTTTGATTTTAGGAACAAACGTGCTCTACATAGTTAGGCGCGAGAGCAACCTGATTGACAGGCAGGCGCGATGTAACACGATAGGCTCTTAACCTGTCGTTAGGTTAACTGAAAGTTTGGCTGAGACGCCATTTACAGCCTGCTGCTGAGCCACCTGCAGTGACAGATGAGTGACATCACTCAAGCTTCGTCTGTGTGTGTGTGTGTGTTTTATTGTGTGTAAATGAACGCCGTTTGAATAAGCTGTGAATGCGTTTCAGGGATAAGGCTGGTGGCTACGGTATTCAGGCTCTGGGGGGCATGCTGGTAGAGTACGTCCACGGAGACTTCCTCAACGTTGTGGGATTC